CTCTATTCTGTTCCATACATCTACCTCTCTATTTTTGTGCCAGTACCATGCTGTTTTGATCACTATGGATTTGTAGTATAGTCTGAGGTCTGGTAGCATGATTCCCCCTGCTTTGTTTTTATTCCTGAGTAATGTCTTGGCTATTAGAGGTCAAAGATAAAAATTTATGAGTAAAGAATTATTGATTCCAAAGATACAATGACTTAAAAATTAAGTTCACATTCTCTAAATTATGCTATAAGTTCTCATTTGAACTTTTGCATTTACTTTTTCTAAGATCACTTTAGGTTTTGGGTGAATAAAGTTTTCATACAAAATTTAGCTGGTCTTGAAAAATAACACACTGGTATTCTGCATTCTCTGCAAAGCCCTCACAAACAGCGCCTCTGAAGTCTCTGAAGACAGAGGCCTTCTCATGACTACAAAGTTCTCCTTATGTTGGCTGAGTGGGGTGGGCAGGCAGATCATCTTATTAAACTTTATTTCTGCACAAAATCAAGAAAAGTCAGTAATGTTGTGAGTGAAAAATGACCTGAACATAATCTAAAATAATTTTTACTCATCTGGATTTAAGGTAAAAATGCAACTAATTTCAGGTGTCAGCCAGCTGAGTGTAGCATAAGCAAGTTCTTAGAAAGTGCCCCCCTCCCCCGTACAGCTAATCTTTTTATCTCTTTTATGTTACCAAAAGACATTTCTCTCTGTTCACTCACCAAAAAGGAAACATACCCAGTTATTACAGGGGTATATTGTGCTGTAAATTCACTCCCACTTAGCCACCTATTCTATATCTGGACTCTAAAACATTATGTTACAATCTTCTTCACAGGCTTTTGTCCCTAATTAGCTATATACTGAAATTCTTTTCTGAACAATTCTATGTTCTTCTATATCAATCTATATAATCTAAGATCTTAAGTGCAAGTTTGATTTGTGTAGGTGAACCAGCAACACATTTCTGGATTAACTAAATTTATATTAAGCATTTTATCAAGAACAATCAGTGGACCCAAAATAACTTTTAAATTGTGGTGCTTCACCATCAAAGTAACTCTTGAATTAAGAGTTCTACACTTTCCTAGCTGACATTGTAGTCTTTTTATTAAGATGTTATCATAAACTGGCTATTTTTCTCTAAAGCAAACACAATGTAACTCTGACATTCAAATGAATGGCATCCTTCAAAGCAATGGCCTTGGGAACCTGTAGGGCGACATTTACAACATTGCCACTGCTTGAAAGGTTTAGAAATTCTTTAAAAAAAAATTCTAGACTGGCAAAGGACAGGCTCCATCAGAGCTTCAAAAAATAACTGAAAGACATGCCTGTCTTTGGGAGATTAAGGCTACGAATACATCCTGGTCACATTCTGAAAAAAATTCTCCTTTAAAGACAGATTGAATATTTAGTAAAAGCTAAAATTTACTCAGTGCCAAGTATGATGAACTTATCATGCAGTGCAGCTTATCAAACACATATGTAACAAAGGAAAGAGATAAGACGGACTCTATTTGCTGAATTAATTCTAAGAGTTCCAAGAGAATTACCAGGAGAGGTTTCAGTACAGTTTCTGGTATTGCAAGGGATATGGAGGTGAGGGGATGTGTGTGTGTGTGTGTGTGTTGGGGTGGGGTTGGGGTGGGGATAAAGATCCTTAAATTGAGCCAGATTTAGCTTCACAATTACTTCATTATCACATCTTATATGGCAATTTAATTTTATCTTGTTAGTGAAATTTGTTTTTTTCGCTTACTTAGGTCATCCATAAAACCATCCATTCACTCACTGAACAAATGTTTATTGAGAAGCTACCTGCCATCAGGCACTGGGAATATAAAGATGCAAAGATAAAAAGGAAAAAACAACTCATAGTCAGGCTGAGTTGACACAGACTTAACTGTAGACAATTATAATCTAATCTAATAAGCACTGAGATAAAGGTGTGTAAGGTCACCAGGGGGCATGGGAAAGGACTTCACAGAAAAAGTGATGACTTGAAGGACAACTTAGGGTTTGCTGTGCAGATATGACAGGGGCTGTGCACACCAGGCAGGATACAGCACACGTAGAGGCCCAGACGTGAGAACAGTGGGAACACTTTCATTTCCAGTTTCAAGATGGTGCGCTGAACCACACTGCCATCTCACCTCCCTGCCAAAGCACAAAGATGAGGAGGCTGGGGGGAGAAGGAAGAGGGGAAGAGAGAGAGAGAACCAAATATACAGTAACAATCAGCAATTAGAGCCCAGAAACCAGGCGTTATCTGATGCAGACACCATCAGCGCAGGAGCAGAGAGAGCCCTTCAGCTCAGAGCACAGGTGCGCTGCAGCCCTGCAAAAGGTGCCTGCTGCCCACAGTGGGGCAGCAAGAAGCAGGAGAAGGCCCAGGACACTGCCTGGAGATTGGCAGGGGCACCCCAGGAGAAGCAGCGAGGCCTGCAGGTCCTCATGGTCCTGTGTGTATCTCCACTTCCACCCCCTCCCCAGACAGCAGGTAGGAAGACAAGGAGGAAGGCATCATTCCAACAGTAGAAGGAAACCGCAGAAGTCGCCAAACCAAAATCACCCTGTGTTTGAGAAGCATCCATAGTATGGGATAGACTCTCATCAAATGGGGAGATTCAGAATGACCACTCAAAACCAAATTTAGTAGGCCAATGAAAACAGAATTATTATGTATAATTAGATATTCTGAGAGGAAACATATACTCATAGGAGAAAGTGATCTAAGAAGATGTGGGTTGGGAGAGAGATTGGAACCAGAGGAACAGAATGGACAGGCATCAGTGAATACACAGGGAGACAGGACACCAGGTCGGTAGGTTCATGGTCTGGATGCAGAGGAAGAAGAGGGGAAGAGCCAGGACAGAGAATGGGAACACCAGCACAGTGTCCCCATGTGTGGCAGGATGCCTGGTGAGACAGCAAGGAAGACAGAGAGTTAGACGGACCAGGAAGGACAGTGCAGCTTTGCTGAGTGGAGGAAGACATGCATTTCAATAATTTCAAAGAGACAGTTGCTGTTGAAGTATATTAAATATACTTGGATCTCCCAAGATAACTAACCCACTTCAGGGATAATAGTATTACTCTGTTCATGAAAGTAGAGCCCTCATGACCTAACCTCCTCCTAAGGGTCCCATTTCTCAACACTGCTGCATTGGGGATTATGTTCCTAACATAGGAACTTTGGGGAACACAAGCAAACCACAGAAACGGGTGACTCTGAGTGAAAACAAATGATGCAATTGTGAAAGATGAAGTCCAGCCGCGATGGACTGAAGAATGAATAGGAAATGGCCTCAGGAAGTGTGGATAACTCAAGAATCACGGCCGGAGAGAAAAAGGAAGCTAGGATAACAGAGGGGATGTGGGGCAAGGGCGAGTCAAGCCCGTGCTATCTGCATCTGCTGTCACTAGACATACATCTGCCCTATGATTCAACAATCCCACTCTTGGTGACCACGGAAGCAGCATCATCATCAGAAGGGCAGATAAATTACAGCATATTCACACTATGGGAAATAGATGGCAATAAAAGCACAGATAAGCACAACATGAACGCCACTCCAAAGTGTTACGCTAACTGACCTTAGCCATGCAGAGGGCACTGCACACTGCCTCAGCCCATCTGTGGGAAGTTCAAGACCAGCAAACCAACTCTACATGGTCAGAAGCCAGGACAGCCGCTCCTCTGAGGAGGGTGCTGCAATGCTCTATACCTTGATCTGCGAGCATCTGCTGGATATATACATATGTAAAAACACTTTAGCACTCTAAGATAAGTGAACTTTATGTCCTTATGCCTCCGTAAGGGGGGCGTCAAAGTAAGTTCTAAGTTGGCCGGAAAGTATTTAACCATATCCTATGCGCAGCAGCGGCAGTGGCTGACTCTGTCTGAACCCAGAGGATCCCTCTGTGATCCTTCCTCTTTGGGACACTGCCGTGTCTTCACTAACTCTGCATTATCTACCTAAAAGTCCAAGCCTACATCTTTGTACGGATCATCTACCCTTCCCAGTTGGGCGACTTGTAGATTGTCAAAAAGAGTTTTCCAGGACTCGGTGTCAGCTCAATACTTCTCACACAGCAAAAGGGCACATTTCCTAACTTTCTTCATTACTGTAGCAGAGCCGTTTAGAAGACAGACTTGTGCCGATCAAATCAACAGACATTGGTGAGCCTCTTCTGTGGTGTTTTATTATCATATCAAATGATGAAGAGATTAACAGCTAGCAGTTGAAGTCATTTTGGTTTTCAAAAAAAAAAAAACCCTATTAATCATTAATAACCTTAGCGCTAAATGTTACCTGCAACCTCACAATAAAAAATAAATTTAGGGCGGCGCCTCTGGCTCAAGGAGTAGGGTGCCAGCCGCATATACCAGGGGTAGTGGGTTCAAGCCCAGCCCCGGCCAAAACTGCAAAGAAAAAAATAGAATAAATTTAAAGAAAATTATATACTTACCATTTTGTCTGGTACCAACAGCAGCAATGATTACTGGAACCGAATTTAATGCTCTTTTTATCACTGGAATATAATTATCCTTTACTTCATGGAATGAAAACTTGTCATTTACGTTGTATTTGATCACAATGATGTCGGCGCTCCCGATGAGATTTCGAGAGGTGTACCAGTCACTGTCAAAAATGTCCTAAACAAAATGCAGACAGCAGCTTTCAGTCCCTTTATCTCCAAACTGATCATGAAATAAACTGCAGCATATTAGTAAGGTGTTTTGCTACATTTTAATTTATAAAATTCATTATATATATTACTTTTAAGTAACTACATAAAATTAAAAATGTAAGAAGTTTGCTGACTCTATTTTGGTTTTTTGTTGATTTTACTTATGCATTTAGCCTGGGCTACCGTGTACTGTTTAAACAAGAGGTCTAGAGAATTCCTGAAAGTCCCACAAAATAAGCACTCCTTCAATATTTATACTTAAAAATAAGCACTCAGTTTTAAAATTATGCTATATTTTTATCACCTAATAATTTCAAAAATGTAATGTCATAGCATGAGACGGAAGAACATCAGCATGAGTAAGGAAGTATCAAAGGATTTCCTGTGACCTAGTTAGACGCTGCAGGATTTTTCAGTGTTTGGAATTGCAACACGCTATGAACTCTGTGGCGTTCCATATTTTACTCTTGTTTACAACATTCACATATACTTTTCAACTTTACCCATCCTTTGGACAGTACTGTCTTATGTATTGTGTGCATGAGGGGTGGTGGAGATATAAAAAGATACCATGCATGGGGGCGATGCCGACATAAAAAGATACTGTGTATTACAAGATTAACAGGGTGAGGGAGGTATTTGTAAGTGCATATTTTCCTTATATGAAATATAAATTCAGAACAGATCTTTCTAGTTCTGAAATCTTTACTTTTGTACAAGTTAATAACATTTATGTTTAGAATTTATTATGAACCCTGTTCCTTTAAAATGTAATGCTTTGAGATTTTGCATGAATAGTGGTATACAGAAAATATCTTTATATATCTTAATTCCACTGCCAAACACACACTAGAAGCTTTCTTCTCATTCTCTAGTTAACTATCAATCACGGTCTGTCCCTCCACGTGGCCTTTGGCATGTATTTCTAGGATGCAATAAAACTAGACTAAGAGAACAGGCAGAGTGGCTGACACCTCCAGAGGCTGTTGGGCGATGAACGTTTGCGCTTGGAAATATGAGTCCAAGACAGGGTTAACAGTATTTGAATAAACCAATCAAGCTGTGACAGAGCTTTCATCCTATGTCGGAAAATCCTGGAGGAGTGTTCCACAGAGAGGCCTTTTGCAGAGGGCCTGGCTGCTCACCCGTGCCCCTCCTGCCCCAGCTCTCTGCAGCCTCCTGACTGCCCATCTCCACAAGGACACTCAGAACAGCAAGAACTGCAGAGTTTCAGATATGGATCCCCTAATGAAAGAGGATGGATTAAGCATTTTTGAAGGACGTTTAAAACAATCAATCAAAACTTAAATAATGAATAAATAAATAAAGCAAAGCATGGACTATAAACACCAAAGGCAAAGGCTTGAACTTGGTAGAGGGTGTAAGCAGAGGAGAAATAAAGTGAAACGCAGTGCAAGAAGGTGAGAAAGCTTCCCAGCAGAGCTCACCTCTGATTTCCAAATCCCAAACCACAAAACTTAGCACATTTCCAACTGGATCTGTTGTAGTCTTCAAGTTCCAAGTACGTAAGAGAGTGTAACAAAGAAAGAAGGCAGTAGACAGATGGATAGAAATCTAAGTGTAAGGGGGACCAGTAGGAAGCAGCTTTTTAACTCTTAAAGTAGCTGCTGTTTACATTCTAAATAGTTCAAAATTCTGGAGTTGCTGGAGAGGTATAAAGGGAAGAGGGGGACGTTTACGGGAGAATGTTAAGGAAAAAATGGGCTTTGGCATCATTAACTCTGTGGGACTGGGAATGCAGAGGCGGTAAATGCTTTCATTTGTCATATGAATCACAGCTGCAAGCCCCACACAAGAAAACTGTGGCTCTACTACCACTGCTTTTTATGGAATGTTTTTAATAAACAGCAGAAGATATCAAAATGCAAAACGAAATAACAACATAACTGCACACACACAAAAAGGATGGGTAAGAGAGAAAAACTTGCTAAATAACAAGCTGCAACTCATAAATGTGAAGCACATTTATTTCAAAAGTGCCAAGTCTACAAGGCAAGGATCCAGGGCAAGGTCAAGGGTCCACCAGAGAACCAGGGAAGAGAAACAACTACCACCTCCCAACTCCAAGGCAGCAACATCACATCTCTTGTCCAAACTACGTCAAAGAGAAAATGCTCCACTGGTTTCTAAAACTATGAAGGAAATCAAAGTCTCCCACCCCTATAAATCAGTTCTAGGATTTCCTCTAGGAGGTTATGCAACATCGGGCTTGAAGCCACATTGGAGAATTGGATTTATCTGTAAAAATGTAGAAATCTGAATTTCTACCTTGAAACAATTTCATTCCACTTGACTGTGAGGCTGCCAATACAGCACCTATCAAATGCTGACCTCGTGCTGAGCTGGTACTGTGGCTGTATAAATCTCAAATGACACACAGGGAAACTTCACTCGCTCAGTATGATACACTGCACTAGAGTTATGATAAACACTATTAGAAGAGCTAGCACTCATGGCACACCTGCTACCTGCTGACCTCCAGACTGAACTTTACATGTGCTAACATCTTCTTACTCCTCAGTGAAGCTCTAGGAGGCAGGACTATGATTATTTTACAGATAGGAAAAATAAGGCTGTGAGATGGTAAGTGATTTACCAAGAACAAACAGGCATTAAGTGACAATGTGGGACCTGAAATCAGATCCTTCTGATTTACAATTTGGGCTCTATCTGTTCCGCTATATTTAATATTCTGATTGAGTACCTGTCAAATACCAGCTGACTAATACAATCGACCTTACCATTTCTGATAGGCTTCACCTATCACCAGGAGAAGAAAAGCACCCTGTAGAGAAAAGAGTAACTCTACAAACATCATCTACTATGTCTGAGGAGCATTATAACCTAGAAAATTGTATCTGGTTACAAATGCAGTGCTGTAAGTCGGGCCAGAGTCTAACCAAACAAGAAGCGATTAGCATAATAAACCACAGCAATCAGTATATGGCAGAAATCCAGACTATACAGAGGCTTACTTTATCCATTTGGAAGATTTCATTTTACTAGACACAATACATGGGATCACAGCATCTCTTTTTGTAAAATCAACAACATAAACAGGAAAAGGTTAACAGCTCAAATTCAAAACAGGAAAAGTAATTCTAACATCCTAATTTAGCTGCTTTCCCCACACGTTGTCAGTCTATTCACTTTGTGTGGAACTAAGTTTTTAGACTGCAAGGTGGTTCACAGGGGAGGGGCCAAGGTAAAGGACGGGCTTCACTTGCTTGCACAGATTCCAGCCAATTAGTTCTGCATCAATATTTCTTATGAACTTCGTAACTAGCAGTTTAATAGCATCCCTTATATTGAAAAGGCCTATGTTTTAGTTTACCTTAGGATATTAACATAACTTTTCTTTACCTGAAAATTTATATGGGCAAAAGATTTTTTTTTCCATAACATGGGAATTTTCATAATTTTTTCTGAGTATATTCTATATATTTTTAGAAAGATGCTAGTGTCCTATAGCCTTGATCCAGTTATTTAAAATTGCTGTTTAAATGTTAAAATCTCACATAAAAATAATCTCACATTTGTATTGTCTTTTTCAGATACTAACCTTCCTTGTTGCAAAATGCAATCTTTAGTTGAAATATATGTAATTTCAGTATCAGTAAAGAACCAGAAGTTTTCAAATAAGATTACAGAAAAACATTCAAAATACGTTATTGTGTACTTTAAATATCTGTGTCAGTGAGTAGATTGAAACACTCAAGAATCAGACTAGAATTTATCCACTTCAGTTCTGTTCAATAATCACAATTTTTTTTTTTTTGAGACAGGAGCCTCCAGCTGTCCCCCTGGGTAGAGTGCTGTGGCATCACAGCTCACAGCAACCTCCAACTCCTGGGCTTAAGCGAGTCTTCTGCCTCAGCCTCCCGAATAGCTGGGACCACAGGCGCCCGCCACAACACCCGGCTATTTTTTGGTTGCAGCTGTCATTGTTGTTTGGCAGGCTCTGGCTGGATTCGAACCCGCCACCTTAGTACATGGCTGGCGCCTAAGCCACTTGAGCCACAGGCGCCAAGCCAATGATCACAATTTTTAAATTTTTCCAAGCAACATTAGTAAAACATTTCTGCTTTACCAGTCACTAAAAACAAATGGATAATATACCAAGAGTATTTTGCATCATTAAGATTAAAAACTAATTAAACATTTTCACAGGTTAACTAATAGTGCTATAAATGAGTCGTTTAAAATTAACTCAGTCCCTCCTCCCGCCTTTTCCAGGGGTCCCACTGTCCCAGTGAAAAGTATTTTTGCCCGTGTTGAGCTTTCAGAGGGCTGTATTTTTAGAACACTAATATTACACTATTACCCGTAGGGGTAGGCATGAAAAACACTGCTCTTTGCTGGTGAAACTTTGTGTCCCCATCTCTCGAGGCTGGCACATGAAAGTGTCAGCTGTCTACCAAAGGAAACCCGCAGTGGTGAAGTGTAGGAGCGAGAGCCCCACGTTCCTAGCGGGGCTTTTTACCTTCTGAGAGTGATGTCTGCCTGAGTTACCCCCTGCCCAATAAGACAAAGAATCCGAGATACTCTCAGAAGTGCTGTGAAACTCCGCCCAGGTGAAGCAGACACTCCACAGTCACAGAAGTGGGCAAAGGGGGGAGGAGGGAAGAAATGAAGGAGAAGCTCCCGCAGCCTGTGCGCGCAGCCGCTGCCGCCCCTTACCCAGACGGGACAGTCGTGCACCACCAGCTTGACGTTCCCAAAGGCGCTGGCCTGGTACTCGGTGAACACCGGACGCGCGACGGTGCTGGTCGCGTTCAGCAACAAACTGCTCTCGTCCCCTGAGACTAGAGGGCTTCTCCCCAGGTAAGTGCGGATGAGCCCCGACGGCCGGTTGTCCTGGTGGAATGCGTCGCCCTCGTTCCCCAGCGCCACGATGTGAATGGACCTGCAGGGACAGACAGGGGGGACGAGGGCGGAGGAGCGGGGTTAGCGCCGTCACTTTCCCGGGAACAGGAAGCGCGGGGACGGCGCGGCCAGGGTGGGCGCACGGCGCGCGTCCGGGCAGAGACAATGGCAGGACCGCGACGCCTACGTACATGGTCGCAAATCCAAGGGCAGGGCTGCGACTGGGAGAAAAGCAGCTGCTCGCGGCCTCTGGGCCCCTCGGCGGCGTGTTTACCCGCAGTCGCTCATGCCGGGCCGCGTCCCCCTCGCGCGCCTCCACCGCCGCAGAGCCGGGCCCGGGCGTGCGAGTCGCCGTGCGCGCGGCCGGCCGGTCAGGGAGCGCCCGGGGACATCCCGGCGGCCGGCGCTAGTGGACGCCGCTGGCCGCAGTCCCCGTCCTTTCGGTCGCGGCTGTCGCCTCCCGCTGGCGCTCCTCCCCCGGAGAGTGGCAGGCGGACGCGGCCCCCGCCCCTGGGCGGCCCGGGCAGCACGTGCCGGCCGGGGGTCGGCGACGCGGGGAACGCGCTCCCCGCCGCGGCCCGGAGCCCGGGCGGCTACGGCCGGACACAAAGGAGCGGGGCCGCGCGGGGCGCCGCCGAAGGTAAATTAATAAACACGGCGCCCAGCCGGAGAGCGCCGGCCGCCGACCCGCCCGCGGCGAGTTTGTCCAACTCGGAAGGCTGTAACCGGAGCCGGCGGGGTGGGGCGGGGCCCGCTCTCCGCGGCTGGAAAGGAGAGGCCGGGAGGCCGCGGAGCCAGACCCGGCTCGGGCCCCGGCAGCCGCCCGCCTCGGCCTCGCCCCTGCGCGTTGCCCCGCGTCTGCCACTTGGTCATTTGTCCATTCCCCACGCGCGCTACAGCTGTTTGCCAAAATCATACTTGTGAGAAAAAATAAAGGCAACATTCATGCCGTCGCAGAAAGGGCTCTTTGTTCCCACTCTAATTAATTTGCTAATGTCGCTTTGGGGGGATTATTTACTACTTCAAGCTACATTTGGCGTATTTCACAGAAAATTCGGGATTTTAAGTGCTGGAAAATTCAGCGTGACAGTTTGTGAAGGAAGTTGCGTATAGAGATTTAACGTGTTAACGAAATGCCAGTTTACTTGGAAATTTCTGCAAGCACGTTATGGCTACATCCAACAGCTCCCAGACCAACTGAAAAATAAAGATCATGTTAATTAATGCAAGACTACTGAGGATTGCTCCATGATAACGCTCTCCAGTAAAGGTTAGGTATGTTTTCTGAAAGGCCTCAGCTACCTCTATTCAAGTGAGCCCTGGAGTCCCCTGCTCGTACCGACCGCTAGGGCCGGGCTCCTCTGGGGCTGGACTCCTCCGTGCAGCGTTAACATTCTGACAAGCATGGTACTGACTCTATGTTGAAACAGCTCTTGCTTGTCTTTTTATTATATTAATTTTGCCCTACTTTAAAATTGGGCGGTTCTTTTCTCCCTGAACTATTTTGAGGCTATGAAACAGGAGGGCTTGAGGAAGGCAGCAGAAAGGCTGGGTTAGAGGCCCCTGGAACGTTGAGAGCTTTCTGCAGCGGGTCCTCTTGCTCAGCTGAATACAACAGGGACGTTCTTCATGTGCTCACTGCTTTTAAAACCATCTCACCTCCCTTTGCATTCAGTGTAATTTCTCTTTTAGTTACCAGAACCTCAACGTCCTGAAAAATTCAAACATACAGAATCAACCTTTACTCTGGGATCCATAGAAAGTATACTTTCTATCAGCCCCCTCCAGTAACCCACAGTCAAAAACAAGGACATTAGAATGAGTAAATGGATAAAGAAAATGTGAGTACACTCTCAGTGGAATATTAATCAGCCTTTTAAAATGGAAGAAAATCCCGTGTGAGCTATATGTGAACTCTGAGGCTGTTGTGGGAAGTGAAATGAGCCAGGCATAAATCACAGAGAATGATTCCACCTATATCAGGCCTCAAAGTCGCCAAACTCAGGAATGCAAAGTGGACTACTGGTCACCAGGGTGAGCAGGGAGTGTCGCAAGATGAAAATGCCTCTGAGAGTTCACACAACATGCTGCTGTGCTGAACGTAAAATGTGGTTAAGGTGATAAAACTTATGTTATTTGTTTTTACAATATAAAAATGTTCAAAAACAAAAAGGACATTAGAAGTGTGATCACTGGCTGGGCACCCTGGCTCACGCCTGTAGTCCTAGAACTCTAGGAGGCCACCATGAGTGGATCATGAAGCAGGTGGATCACTTGAGCTCAGGAGTTTAAGACCAGCCTGAGCAAGAGGGGGACCATTTCTATTAAAAATAGAAAAACTAACGGGGGGAGAGGGGGTAAGGGAAGAAAGAGAGAAAAACTAGCCGGTTGTGGTAGTGGGCATCTGTAGTCCCAGCTACTTGGGAGGCTGTGTCAAGAGGATCACTTAAGCCCAAGAGTTTGAGGTTGCTGTGAGTTATGATACCACAGCACTCTACCAGGAGTGACAGAGTGAGATTCTGACCCCCCCTCCAAGAGGTGTGATTGCTAAAAAGTGGCAGGAAGGGAGAAAGTAATAATTTTTTTTCTCACTTCAGTGTGTTAACCAGGCCTGCACTAGATAGGCATGGGGGATACTAAGGTCCAAAAGCCTTACAATACTTATCCTTGAAAAATGAAGGTCACTAGATTGTGTTAGCACACTCCATCCTTTTGGAAACATGCTGATTTCTTAAGTAATTATGACACTGGCTGATGCATTCAGTGATAGAGATAGGAACAGAGCAAAGGCTGAAGTTCGGAAACCGTTGAGATGAGATCGCATCTTCTGTGTCATCAGGAGTTCACAGAGGAAATAAATGCTGACTTACATCTTAAAAGATGAGGAAGGGGGGTTGGAAGGGAAGGAGTATTGTAAAGAACGAGGCAGACATCACATGCAAAGGGACAGAGCATGGAAGAGCATGGTTCAAGGAACAGCAAGAAGTGAATTTGGTCCTGGCAGACAGATTCCTGTACTATATTAAGACAGACAGAAAAAAAATCGGGGGTGGGGGGCACTTCCCAAGACTTTTCCAAAGTCAGACCTGGTGATGCTCATTCTACACTGGGGCTGCTTGGTCTAGTTGGTGCTCTGTGTATGACAGAGCCTGGCCTGGTGCTCACCAAACCCACTTTCTCTTTCATCAAAGCTAAACTTTCTAAACCTTGCATATCTGGGTAGGGCTACGTGATGAGTTTTCCCAGGTAGAACACGATCAGTGCTGAGCAGCTGAGAGGAGTGAGTGCCTTCCCTGTGCCCTTCATCCATCTGTACCAACCAGATGAAGCCAGGTCAACCTTACAGCCCAGAGTCTGAACCACTGGCCCTGCAGTGTGGAGTGGGCCCTGCGTGGCCAGCTGCAGCAGAGCCTTTCCCAGCAGATGTCACGCTGTCACACAGGTGACACTGAGTGAAGGCTGACATTATCAGGTCAATTATTTTAGCAGTTAGTGTACTTATCTTGGCTAATGGAATATCACAGATGGTCCATTTCCTAGCTCATCATTTTCCTGCTTGAGACCATTTTTTTAAAAAGTTATTTGCCTTTCATTTAAAGTTTTTATTTAATTTATATATTGTTGTTTCTGTCATCAGCATATTTTAAAGGTATTACTTTTGGCAGAGTGTTAACAAAGCAGATTCCTATCTATCCTTTAGCCTCAAGGTCACTGGGGAACACACAGTGTTTCATCTACTTTAGAGGCTGAAATGCCACCATTTTACATTCACAGTGTCAGATGCTCTTACCCTGAATGAGTTGTATTGTAGGGCGCGTGTGAGTACACATGAGGTAACCCAGTGTCCAGTTACTGGTTCTCAGTCGTGAATATTCACAGGCCAACTTTTGGAAACTTTGCTCATTCCTTAATGACTGGAGAGAAAGCAAGTGTTGGCCAGGGCAGGTCTGGAGAGGTAGGCTTGCCACAAGATTTTTTCCAACTGTGTTTCAAGGAAGCTGGATTTCTACAGAGGAATGTTCAAGTCTGCCTGAAGAGGTGGTGGGCAAAGAGCAGGCAGAGAGCCTTGGGCCCAGTGTTTCATCTTAAAGTCAATCAGAGCAGTCTCATTGCAATCTTAAAAAAAAAAGTGCATTTCCTGTTCATTTTCATTAAAAAGAGGAGAGTTTCTAAGTTAAAACAAATAAAATTTTAAGACTACTTGTTTTGCCTGAGTCTCCAAACAGGGTGCAGAAGAAAACTCCTAAAATTTCAGAATATAGTATTTACTATTCATAGACACATAATTTTTTTTAACCATAAAAAAAGGGAGACAGAAATTAAGCCTTAATTTAAATAAAATAAAATAAAATAACATAACATAAAAAGAAATTAAGCCTTACTAGTATTCATTTATTTATTTATTTTTTGAGACAGAGTCTCACTATGTCACTCTCAGTAGAGTGCTATGGTGTCACAGCTCACAGCAACCTCCAACTCTTGGGCTTAAGAGATTCTCTTTCCTCAGCCTCCCAAGTAACTGGGACTACAGGCACCCACCGCAATGTCAGCTATTTTTGTTGTTGTTGTTTGGCAGGCCCAGGCTGGGTTTGAAGCCACCAGCTTTGGGGTATGTGGCTGGCACCCTAGCCACTGAGCTACAGGCCCCGATCCCTTTACTAGTATTTAATTTAGGGACTCGGGTTGGCACGTCCACTTGATCTGGGGGAGCAGGCACCATGGTTGGTGGGGACCCACGGGCTCTCCCCTTTATTCAATCTATTGCCACGTGTTGGAGCTTCCGTATCTAAGGGACCTTACGGGTGACATTTACATACGCTAACTGTTGCAGCATGAACCAACAAAGACAGTGTTAACACGGTGGGAGCGTGCAAACACCATGGGCAGAGAGGACATTCCTGACCCTCTTTGGGAGCCACACTGCAAAGTTCAAAACTAACGACTAATCAGATTTGACAAGCAGTTGCCCATAATAATTGATCAGAAAGCACACTGTTGGGTGGTGCCCATAACTCAGTAGGTAGGGCACTGGCCACATACACCGAGGCTAGCAGGTTCAAACCCAGCCTGGGGCAGCTAAAACAGCAATAACAACTGCAACAACAAAAAGAATAGCCTGGCATTGTGGTGGGCACTCTAGACCCAGATACTTGGGAGGCTGAGGCAGGAGAATTGCTTAAGCCCAAGAGTATGAGGTTAAAAATAAATAAAAAACAAACAAAAAAGAAGCACACTGTTTTAAAGCATGAATTTCCATTCACTTTTGTTAAGACTGACTTCACCCTAAGTACATATCTTAGGTATCCAGTGATAACTAGTTATATCTAGTGATAACTAGTAAAGTCTAGTGACATTCTGAACCTATCTCAGTTAGCCACTTAAAAGGTAAACATCCAAATAGTAAGGCAAAACTCAACGATATTTCCAGCATGTTTCAGTAATATACTAGTCAAGTCAATACTTTAAAGGAAAGTC